GATACTGACGATTGAAAATTTCTAAATGTGTCCCTACAACCTGTATGGATTACTAAAAATGGTATTAATAATAATCTCGGATCTTCTGAATCTTCCGATAAAAAGAAAATAGCCATTGCGCTGCCAATGAAATAGGACCTTACTTACATTTCGGCGCTTAGAATGTCTTAGCATTTCGTTGGTCACCTGCAGGATGCTTTGAAATCTTTTAAACTGATTTTATCGCTAATTTTGTAATCCACGAGGAAACGTGATTAAATTTAACTGATGACTCAAAGGAGCACGTATTAAAATGCATGTTTAAAGGTGGAGTTTGATAAGGGTCAGCAGCCAATTTCAGTTTCTTAGCAACGAATCACCTGCTTTAAATGTCCTCATAAAATATTCTCTGTCCAGATTCTAACAAAAATGAAAAATCTACAAAAATGAGACATCTGTTTATTTTCTATCGAAAAAACACTCGTTTAGACACGTTCCGCTCTTTTTTTTTTTTTTTTTTTTTTTTTTTTTTTTTTTTTTTTTTTAGTACGTCTGGTTTTAATGATGGGCCGCGCTAGGGGTAAAAATCTTCAATGTTTTTCATATAATGCCTCTCTCTCTCAGTGCCGATTTCACAGTTTTGACCCAGGTCCGTCTTCTATTGTAGACCTAATGAAATGTCAAGAGCCACAAAATATTTTGTTTTTGAACCCTCTTAGATATTGTTATCAGGTCTAGTGACAGTTTACAGTAGAAACTCAATTTGCTTTCGTCGTGAAATTAGTACGTTTTATTATTGGTATGTTCGAGAGGTTTTTTACTCTGCTCATTAGCCTCTCTTTCAGGATTGATTCCAACTTAGATTCTTTACAAAAATGTGCGAGCCGAAGTTAAAATACCCGGGTTTGATGAAGCATATTTTTCCTTGAGCTGAGCGAGCTTTTAAGACTTCACTGCTCTAAATCATAACCTTTAAACCTCGTCTGCGTCACATCTTCATTCCCGCCTCCTAAAATTAGTTCCAATTAGCGTTTGTAGATCAACTTTTCAGACGACAATTTGATCAGGCTCGGTCACTCTGTTTGGACGAAGCCTTTTTTATGTACAATATTATAACATGTCACCCCAGCGGACTTCTTGACTAATTTTACAAAAGGTTTCTTTTCTTAAACCTCAAGCTGTATACACACATCTATATAATACGTTTTCTTTTTTATCACGGACATTAGAGTTATTTTAGATAAGTCAACAAACTAACGTAGTAAACCGAACATAGAATTAATTATGTGATCTGCACGCTTTTCTCAGACTTTGTTAACCGCTGCTGAAATGGAAGTAGTACCAGTTTAACATCGCGTTATTTCGGTACGAAAGGAATTTGTGAATTTAATTTCTCGACACAGAAGAGGCAAAAGTGATATTCGTACTTACGATAAAAGGTTATTAATTCTCACCGTTTTGTCCAGCTGGCCACGACGGACGTCGTTTAACTTTGAAATATTTGTATTTAGTTGTGTCGGTGTCTAATCTAGAAAATAGCACATAATATTTTTGGGCTTTTGGTGGTGTTAGTCATTCTCGAAAATTCATTAATGGTCAAATAAAGTTTTAAGAAAGGCCTCGAAAGGGCACTTTCTCTCCTAAAAAGCAAATTTCCATTAATAAAAGCTTTCATTTTGGTCTCGCAAATACTCTTAACTATACTCCAAATTTAAAATAAGTTTCTTCTTTTGAAAAAAAAAAAAACCGAAATAGAGCTTACTCCATGTGAAGCGCGCAGGCACGACTTTGCTTCACCTGTTGCGATGCATCAAAAATAATATATAGATTTAGCCAAGCCTAAAAGCGGAGCTCCCAATAAGTGAAAATTTTGCATTAAAATTTTTTTACATATATTAAAAATTTTTAGCCAAAAATTCATTCAGTATAGATTAAACAGATTGACACTTGCGTGTAACACGTGCCTGTGAAAAGTCAAAATTTTGGAGAAACCAAGAAAGCAAACACAATGCGCAGTAAATTTTTAAAAATCACCTTTCCCAAAAAACAAGCTCCAGCGAAAGAAGACTAATTAAAGAACCTATTTCCGACGAAAAAAGCGATAGGCCCAGATTACGTTTTAACTCAAAAGTCAAGATGAAAGATAAAAATCGGGAAATATTTTCGCATGTGTGCAAATGGGCATGTGGATCATATTTGAAAATGGAATATGCGAATTTTTCCGCGAGTGAAGAGATCTCAAGTTCCATGGAAGGAAGACTAAAATGGCCAAGAAATAATTCGGGACGACAGATTTATTCAAAACAGTTTTTGATTTGCTGTTATAAGCGAAAAACGTACGAATTTCTTACGTGAACAAAGCCCACGCGGTAAAATTTATCATGCTTAGATCGTTGTTTACGTGCCTTCCAGGCCAGAAATTGCGCAGTGTTATGTTGAAAAGTTTTGAAAAAACTTCAATTTGACGAAAAATCTTCTATTGAACGATACTTTTTGAACACATTGTTACTCGAACATAATAATTACCGGGTCATCGAATTGTCAAATTGTCGCTAGGCCCTGCTTGAAGTCCGAAAGTTCGGTTTTCACTTTACGTCCATAATTCGCATCGCCTTAGAGAATCGTAGTGTCGTTGACTCGAGAGCTTATTCTGTCACCTTAAAAGACCTTAATATCCGTTTTTTTTTATAAGCAGAGCATTCTATAGCATTGTTACTTTACATTCTGAGTTCCAAAAGCTCTAACTCGACCGCAAATGAACGAAAAATCCGACATGAATATTTGGAGAGTCGGCCGCGCGGATTATATGGTACTTTCGTGATAGTATACATGACAGAGGGCACGTACGTACATACGTACGATCGGTCAGTCACGTGACAACCAAAAGAAAAGAGGTTGACCATATTCCATGGGTGTGGGGCAGAGCGTGGGAGCCCCGCTACGAACGAGTGAGGAAGATTGGAAGCGAACAACTGTGAAAATCAGTACATCGTTCGTCCAATCAGAGACACGAACGGTAGCTATAGTACTTCACAGTGTAAATCTCAGTATGTATGAAATAAGTACGTATTCTTCTTTAAAAAAAAAATTAGCACGACCTTTCACTTAAGAGAAGGAAGAAGGCAAACACGGAAACATGTCTACTTCGTTTTCATCATAAGGCTTTCCTATCACCTAAAAATAAAGGACGCCGTGCAGAAGCACTGACAAAGACAAGATATAGAGGAGTTTTCCGCACGCAAGGGATAGCAGCGAGACTCTCTTGTAACCAATGGACGCCAACAAAACATGTTTAGTTAATTTGGGTTTTAGCAGAGTGCAAATCAGAAAAGAGAACTAAAACACTGAACTATCCATAGAATTCTAGTTGTCACTAACTTGTGCTCCATTTGAAGTCGACAAGCATCGGTTTAAGCGCCTTCGGTGAAATTTAGACCGTGTTCAACAAAAAAGCTTTAAAACAGGTTTAAGCTACATGTGGATGAGCTCTTAGATAAATTCATATCAAAATTTATACTTACTTTGTTCTATAAAGAAAGACACCTAATTAATAAAATATAGAAGCTTTGACAGAGCTTTGTTATGCTGTAAAGCGCGCAGAAAGGGGCTAGAGCACGAAAGAAGAGTAAAGAGAAACACGAGACGCAGTGGAATGTTTCTCCCCACTTTTTGAATCACCCAGCAAGCGGCAGGAGGCAGGACCGGTGGGCCATAAATAGGCCTCGCCCCAGTCCACAAACATGCAGAAAAAGAATGTGGCTTGTATCTTGCCCGCCATAGGAACCGAACTGATTAAGTCAATTAATAAGGGAATAGAAAATAATGCGTTGGGAACCGCGGTTGCTTAAAGGTCAGCTCGTTAGGTACTGGGTCGAGAAGTCCTGGTTCGTGGCTTTGCCTAGTCATCGTGGTAATGGGTACCGGCGAACAGTCGGCGAAATTTGGCGAAATGCTGGGGGTAACCTTAGCGAAACAAAAGCGAGTAATACTTGTCAAATTCCTTTTTTTCTCTTTTTTATTTATTTCACAATTCAGAAAATAATTCTAAAGCAACTGAAAATTGTCGACTAAACCCAGCTTGACGAGTTTAGAAATTGCAAAGTAACTCTTAAAATAAGTTATGAAAATTCATGTCTAATTCATGTCTAATTCATGTTTTATCCCCAATTATCACATCGAGATCACTAGTATCTCAGCTTAACTGTTTTTGCATTCTAAATAACTATGAAAAACAGTCACAACGCCAACTACAAGTGATCATTATCCAGCGAAATCACTCTTTCTTAATTAATTACGGGCATAATTCAATAACGAGTAAGGGACCGTTCATTAGTTATCACATTTACTTTGACCTAGTTTTAACTGATTATTGGGGGTTTTTTTTGTTTTTCTGTTTTTTGTTTTTTTTTTTAAATTTCCAACTAACACTTAATTTCTTTACTTACAATCGCATGTTACTGCCCGCTCATGAGAAACAAAACAATAAACTTAGCTTATACTCTATTTATACTTCCTGTTGTATTCTGAAAGAAAGAATTCTTACATTTATAATTTCCTTTGAGTCTTCTTGCGGACCTTGTATTCTTAACTACTAAATAAGAAACATCAGAAATGTTCTCTTTAGTGAAAAGGATAGAATCTCAACTTTTCATAGAAAAGTTATACTCAACTAAAATTAATTTTCTTTCCACAACGCACTTGCTCTGGACATGAAAAATGTTTCCATTTGGCAAACAAGTTTGTTTATAGAATGCAACATTTAGCCTTGTGACCCACATCATCAGAAGTAAAGAACCTTCCAGAACCCTTTGAGAATGAGAAAAAAGATTCGACGCATTCTCATTGGCTCATCCTCGTGCTTCTGTGGAGACTTCGGAAGAATACCGTCATCGACCTCCGAACGCAGTGTTAAAAGTTTCACGTTCATGTTTTGCATTCAATTAGCACGACTAAGGCTAAAAAATTGTTTCCCAAGCAGCATTTTTCATTAAAGTCATTGATTTTCCGATTTTTTTTTTCTGTTTTTTTTTTTTTTTTAAATTTCCACTATCACTATGTTTCTTATGTTATATTTATTCATTACCTGTAACACACCCGATCAGCTTTGATGTACATATCGGTTGTGTAGTGTTCGAGGTATGCTTATATGACTAGAAATTTGGAACACAATCTAACACTTATTTTGTAAAACCTGACCTAATTGTTATGAAATGAAATCGTAGTTTTCATAATGTTGACAGTCTCCAGGCCTCGATCCACTGAGCTTACTATTCATATTTTGCATTCTTACTATTCTACACTAAAATATTTTACACTTTACGTTTATATAAGCCTTGTGATGTTTAAAGTTAAAGCATGTACCAATTTTTATTTGCCGTTTTCTTCTGCGGCCCCGGTTTTAAAAGTTTATCCAAAAAATCGCAACGTCTTCTCAAATGTTTGCCAGCTAAACATTCAACTTCCCTCTAAAGATATCTTTAGTAGTTTTTTGAAAAGAAATATCTTTACAATCTGAGTCCTAGTGCCATAAAATGATGATAACAATAAATTAAAATAGCATTAATATTGATAACAATAGTGATGACACTATTTATCAGTTCCACTAAACATTTAACTTGCCTCTAAAGATATTTCGAAACTGTACACGTTGATAAAGTATCTATCCATCTACCTATATATCTAGTTAAATTAAAATAGTGACTTACTTAAAAAGTAACATAAACAAAAAACAATATCAATGTGAAACATGGCTCACTTTGAATTATCCATGATATGCTATGCTAGAAAAGGAGCAACAAAGCAACGCACCGTTATACTATGTTTATAATTCTTCCTATTATATCATAAAAGCATGAATGCTCAAAACTCACTTCTTTTAGGTCAGCTTGCAGACTTTGCTTGCTTAACCACCAATAAGATAAATAGTAGAAATTGCCTCTTTGGCAAAGATGGTAGAGGCTCCGTTTTGCATAGCTGTAGCTTGGTCAAGTCCTCGAGAGACTTTTATAGACATGAAACAAAAACCTTTCATGGGGTATAACGAGTGTACATAGTTTCGATGGAATAATGCATAACGACATGTGACCTTCAACTTTTTACTGAAGACCTTCCTTTGGAGTCAAGAATCCTCCGGAGCCTTTTTAGAATAGGAAACAAGATTGCACGTATTTTCATTGCTCTTCCTCCTGCCTCCAAAAATACTCCATGTCTTGGTCCGTTTGATCTGCAAAAGAGGGTTTTCAATTATAACTCATTACAGGGCCAAAAAAACTTAAATTACTAGTTGATCATGAGTAAAGTAGCTCAGCCAACAAAAAATTATCAGGAGCCATATGCCGCGCTGCTTATACAGGACACTGATGTTTTAGCGCTACTGGGCTTAAACCGACAAGAAAAAGTGCAAGTCCACCTTTGGAGGCATCAATGAAAAATCTTCGAAACATGAAGGCAAACTGGAAACAGTTATCTCTATGTTAACTAACGTAAAAAGTGAGTATTGTGCCAGCAAAAACTGGACCAAACCTTGCTGGATTTCCTCGACAACACCGCATCTGTATCTTCTCTTGGTATCTGAAAGACAAAATTTCGAAATCATTTAAAGAAGTTTATCCCAAGGTTATTCATTGAAAACTTAAATTTTAAGCTTGGTGTATTTTTCTGTAAATCTGACCAGTTCACGGTTTTGGTTCCCTTGAGCCCTACCATCAACCCCTTTCTAAACCATTTTAACTCACACCCTAACGAGTAGGACACCATGCACGTAAGTAGAAACCACTGCCGAAGACGGCAGTTAGAAGTTTCACATTCTCTCAAATTTACCTGCACTGGAATAGATGGCGCCGAGTTTCGTCTCTCAGATGTTGAATATGGAGATATCCTCGGTTCTTCCTCAGCCTGCAATCAAGACAAAAATAAAAGCAGTTTAGTTCTAATTAGTAGTGGGTTTTTACCCAAGAGTAGGTAAAGATCTCCTTAATACTCTTAATCCTCACACCCAATATCTCACTCCTAACCGTTTGTTTTTCTTCTTTAATTAAGGTTGTTTGGAGTGGTTCGATAATTCTTCACATTTCACCGTTGGATGTCTGGCTACCCGATTTTTCTCTTCTCCCATACCACAAGCCGGTAGAATTCTAGAAGTGGGCTTGAAATAATTGAGATTTTTCTGAACGTAAATGCACTAAAAATAATTGACATAGCACTGGGAAGGCATGGATATTAGCCAAAAGCATGCAAATAAAACAACAACAACAAGAACAACATCAAGAATGCAGGTAAATTTACATACTGGGGAGCCAAGAATAGCTGAGAATAGCCGCGTCCGAGTTGCTTCCAAGTCTGCAACCTGTTTTTCTCTTCCTTCTTGGTCTGCCAGCAGAATTTGAAGCTTTTCATTTTCTTCCTTTGTAAAGTTTGTGTCCGCTAACTTCAGGTCCGCAACACGAGAGTTCAGATCATTGTGAACGGCTTTCAAGTTGTAATAAGTAAAGTCATAAAACTTTCTCCTAACGAACTCGTCACATGCGCAAGCTTGGCTTGTCATTCTTGTTACTTTAGTGTACACTTCCTCTAATGTTCTGCTCTGTCTTTCGATGAACTCCAACCTTTGCATGGTTAAAGTTTCTTCTTTCAACTCAGACATGTTCAAACTGGATTTTATGTCTGAGAGTGTCTTTTGAAGTTTTTCTAAGTTCTCGGAAATTTGGTCAACTTTGCAGTTAAGATCTTCAACCACGACTTGATCTTGTTCTGTTTGCCTGGGTACATTTCCTATAAACTGGTCGATAGTATTTATATAGTGTTTGATTTCCTGAAAGGAGAGTCGTATCATATATCCATTAAAATCTTTACGAGTAATTCATATTAAGAAAATATTGCCTGAGAAGTCCACTTTATAGGAAGCAAACTCGTGTAGCTCTCCTAAAAGATTGTTTGGCTGTTACACAAATTAATTTTAACAGCAACGGCACTTTAAATTCTCTTTATCACAATCCGCTTCCTCCAGAAAATGAATTGGGAATAGATTTAAAATAACGTTTGATTCTAACCTAAAATGGTTATAACGCAGTTTTGCCTCGGCCTTCAGTGCATTATTTCAAAAAAGTTATACCACGATAAGTGGTTGAAATAGTCAGTTGACCATTTAGTCAGTTGTCTGGTATAAATGTATCTGTTTCCATGAACGTTCGTCCGTCTCTAAATCAATAGTTACCTTTAAAGATGTATAAAATTCTTTTGTTTTGGTTTCCCACACAAAGAACGTTGACCTTCCAGAAGTGTCGTTGCCCAATATGATCTAATACAGGGAAGAAAAAAGTGCGCCGTTGATATTGAGAAACCAAAATGGTCTTTCTGGAAACAGTTAAACAGGTTATGTTCAAATACTCTCAGTGAATAACGAGCTCACCTGGTTTGCATCGTCTACCTTGATCGTCCCTCTAACTTCAATAGAGATGGCTCTTCTATCATTGATCGGACCTAAAACAAACCATTTTTAGCCAAAGTAAGGTTACGAATACCCATTCCGTAATTGTCCAAGAACACATAAATAGCGGATCGTGCGTTTTCTACATGTTTGAACTTATCAGAAGAAAGAGATAAAAAGCCTTGAGGAGAACGATCGGTATTAGGACGCAAGTAATATGGTTAATCTAACATGGCCCCCATTTAAGTTCAGTGCATTTCTCTGTACACTTGTCTAAAACATCATCAAAGAGAAACGGGAGTTATTCATATCATTTTTAGAGGTCAAGTATTTTTAAAATACGTCCTACAGTCTGCCTTCATTTCATGAAAATAAATGCATGGAAAACGGGTGGATATCCAAGAATTGCCCTGATGCATTCCTGTAATTGAATTTTTAAGCATATTGAACAATAAGTAAAATGGTTGAAACTATTGTACTCACCCAGTAATATATCAGCCACGTTTTTAAGTTCTATCTTAATCAAGGCCTCTGCCAGCTCTGCAACAATTGCCTCTCGTCCCTTTCGACGAATCCACCGTACTAGGACCGCAATACAGCATTCTTTGGGGCAACACTCCTTCTCAATTTGGATCTCGTCGATGTTAGTTTCGCTGAAGCCAAGCACTCGTGCCAGGTCTTTCCACTTTACTGGCCCAATCAGCTCAGGCAATTGCTTTTCGTGGATAAGTTTTTCAGTTATCAGAAGAGTCGGGTCGAGGGAATTATTGTTCATGGAGAAATCTGATGGTATTACAATGAGCTGATGTTAGAGCCTTAAGAATCCTTAAACTTAACCTGAAGTTTTCCACGGACAAGAAGAAAAAATACGACTGAAACTGAGTATTTTTAGAATAACAGTTTTGGTAGCACATGACACCTTACGTAATTCAATGTTTATGTCATCGTTTCAGCTTGTCACGCAACCAACACAAGAGGAAGCTTGTTACGTAATAAAAGTAAACGACGGCCCCTGGAGGAGCCTATCTCATATAGAATTTACTTTGTTTTCCTTTTAATCATTTATTGCTCTGAGCAGTAATTTGTTTTTGCATGACGTTTTAGAAATGTGAGAATCAATTCCCCCTAATGCTACTTCTGATTGACCGTCATGACATCAACTCAAAAACATATTTGGGGTTTATGAGAAATATAACCAAACATATTCTATATACAAGGCTAAAAGATGAAAAAAAATTAAAAGTTTGAACCAAACGTTTTCGGATGTTTGCCATCATCAGGGTTGAAGATAATGACCGTCTAAACATAAATATTTATCCTAGGTAATTCCCGATGGGAAAAGTTTGGGGACATAATAGTCTTATGTAATTCCCCATAGGAAAAGGTTTGGAGACATAAGAAATAACCTGTTTCTTCAAACTGGGGCGGAATTGTTGGATCATGATCATGTAGACGGTCATTATCTTCAACCCTGATGATGGCAAACAGCCGAAAACGTTTGGTTCCAACATTTTAATTTTTTTTAATTTTTAGCCTTGTATATAGAATATACCTTACTGAGCGAATAATATGGATATAACCATATGTGAGGACTGCCGTGATTCAAATACGGTTTTTAATTCATCTTTAAGTATTTAGCGTTCATTTTACCCATCCATGTTTTACTAATTCATGTTTTTCTAATCCATGTTTTACTAATCCATGTTTTTCTAATCCATGTTTTACTAATGCATGTTTTACTAATCCAATCGATGTTTTACAAATCCAATCCAGTCCTTGTTTTACTAGATGCCAAAAGAAACAAGGATTCGTCTCGTGCTCTTGTAATATTCAAGAGTAAAACAATTCATCTTTAAGTAAGAGAGAGTTGGATGTGTTTCATGTCTTGATCTTCATGTTATCACTTTTAGGAAAATCAAAATTGTCTTGTTTAAGACAGACAAATACATAGAATTTGTTATTATAATATCTCATGACAAGGTCGCTTGCGGTATCATTTTTGAGGTTAAAACTTATGAATTCACTGTGACTTCGATCAGCATCGCTAAAAAAGTATCCTAACATTCCTAAGTACTTAAGGAAACAAAATAAAACAAAATAGAACACTCTGCAATTAATAGAAATTTCGATACATCGCATATCGTCATCACGGAAGCTAACCAGTTTCAAGATCAAAAATATCTCCTCTGATATCAAAATATAGCATACAGATCGAAGCGAGAGGAATTCGCACCGGCGTTAGGGGATATATAGCAGCGACCACGTAGCAACACGAAGCATAAAGACATGTACATAAAAAGATTTCGTTTCCATACGATAACATTTTCGAGCAAATTTATTTACCCGGAAGTAACAGTTTATTCATAACGTGGAACTCGCGAATAAGAAATGACTGAAGGTAATATAAAGTTACTAACCCATTTCTGAAGATTGAATTTTGTAGATCACACCGATCGACTCCTCTTTTGCTCAGGTTAATGCTGTGTCCTTATGCGTTCAAGTCGTGGCAACGTCGAACTGATAAATACTTGGCGACGAGATTCTTTATGGTATCGAAGGCTAACATAAAAGTTTTGAGGTAGACCCCGTTTTTGCGGTTCATAGCTTCAATGGACATCTGTTAAACTGTGTGCAAATAAAATGACAATAACCTATTGATATTTAGATAACTCAGTCGTAAAGAAAGCCGACCTTTTCTTCAATTTTGTGTCATTTTAACTAATTGCTATGCTGTTCAGTTGTCGCTCGTCGGTGAAGCCAAATGACGGAATTCTGCTCACAAACCTTAGTTGAAAATTCTGCAAATGTCTCCTTTATCGGGCAAACAGCAGCTAATTTCTTCTCCTTGGAAGAAGGCAAGACTAAATATTGCAACTAACAAGTTGCGACAGTGACTCAACTCGTTTCATTTTCAGTTCTAATAATTCCGGGTTCATTTAAGACCGCTTTCCTATAAATCTTTTGTTCGTTTGGGGTAACGCCGGCTCAGGATGCTATTTTGCATGAAACGCACGTGTCCCCCATGCTGCCAGTGCATTTGTTCACGTGCGTCTTCACTTTAAGCCCCGTCTACACAAGCAATTTTTATGTGGCAACTGTATGTGGCAATTTTTATTTGCCCGTGTAGATGGCTCGACAAATATTTGTTGTTAATTTGCGTCACTAATAATTTTGCACAGCGAAGATGCTCATGGAAAGGAAAAAAGCAAGGTGGCGAAAGTCAGAAGATGTGCCAGACGAGTTGCAGCTTTAGGCGCGTTTGTCACATTTTATGTGGCGTCTCATCTACACGGACAATTTTTTTCTGTTGCAATTTTTATTTGCCACATAAAAACTAACACGCCAGCTTTTCAGCAAATGTAGTTGCCACATAAAAATTGGTCATTTTTCATCACCGACACGGGCAAATAAAAAATGTCACATAAAACTTGCCATATAAAAATTTCTCGTGTAGACGGGGCTTAAAGTGTGCAATCGGTCTTAAATAAATCCCTCCGAATGAAAATCGTAAATGAAGCACGTGATTGAGTGAACACTGGAGTCGTGAAGTCAGAACGTGAACAGCGTGTGAAGAAAGATTTTCCCATTGTCCGACAGAACTTTAAATATTCCTAGGGTTTTTGATAAATATAGGTATTTATTACATCCATTTTGAAATCACTGGTGGTTGCACAAATTTCTCGCACAGAATTGTAGACGAAAACATAAAGAATCAACCGATGTTGCAAAATAAGTGAAAGAAAACTGAAACGTTCATGTGTAAAAGGAATTAAAAGTAGGGGAAAGGAAAACTGGAGACTTTTCAAACGCAAAGCTTACCCAAGTACTTACGCCTCTGCGCTTCTGAAACACCATGACTTACTTGTGTAGTTGTTTGTAACTTTTGGACAATGTCTGCGACGAATTCGAAAAAAGCCGCAGGAGACAGTCAAAACAAAGAAAAAATTAAACTAGCCTCTTGAGTTTATTTTACCACAAACGCAGCTGGCTCTCTCTGTCTCTCTCAACTCTCAAAATAAATCTTATTGAAGCGAAATCTTTTTGCTTTGTAATAAATCCTTTATCAACTAAGCCAAAAGCATATAAAATCTCTTGACCAAATACAATTACAAAACAATTAATGTAGAACTCCTAAATAAAATCAAAGAGACAACAATTTGGAAACATTGTTTGAAACGCTCCGTTTTTACAGCTTGTATTATGAAGAAATAATATAAAAATTAACAAAAGTGTGGAAAAAATACTCTTTGTACACTTCAAAATGAGACCTAAAGCAACTTTAAAAGGTTTTTAAGTACATGGAAATAATCCCATCTTCTTACAGCACACTTCTTAGAATTTTACCACAATTCTACATCTAATGAACTGCCAAAAAAAAAAATTTTAAACAAATAAGTCAGTAAACAATGTTGTTAACTGAAAAAGTTAAAGAATTAAGTGTGTCCCACACTGAACGCAATGGAGTATGAAAAAGGCAAGCTTTCGTAGGAGTTCATGTCATTGCGATGTCGTGGATAGTTTTATGTCCTCCAAAAAAATATCTTTAACTCAGATGTAGGGCCGGTAAGATTCAGAAATTAAGTAATAAGGTTATGTAACAAAGTTCTTTTCTAATCTTGCACAGTAAGAGCACGTTTGCGGTCTTGACGATATCAATTTTACTAGCACTGTAACCAACGAGTTACCCGTTGAAAACCTATGAAAGAGAAAAAAAACAGAGAAGAGAAGGTGGGAAGTGAACTTGAAATTCCGTTCTCCTCCGAACAATGAAAATTGAAAGCTGCGTTTCTCAATTTATGAAGAAATTTCAAAAAGGCAGCTCTTGGAATTGAAATTCAAGGAAGTAACCGAAAACGTCAATGTCATACGAATCCCTTTTCCCCAAACCCGACAAGCACTTGGGAAAACGATTCCCATTCCCATGCATTCCGGATAACTTAGCCGCAATTAATTAAATTCATCCTCTACCCTCATTCTAAAATTTGCATATGTAGGAACTTACTTTCGAGTAATTCTTTGAATTTACCTAAAGGATCAGAGTCTTCATTCTCTGAAGCTTCCTCTGAGTCAGATGTTTCTGCATCTGCAAAATAACCCTCCTCTACAAATTGATCTTTCAGCACTTGAGTTACCCCTAAAAAGTGACACGATCGGCAAAAACAGTTATGTAACGGAGAAATGCATTCGTTTGTGTCAGGATGTGCTCATCTGGGATGTGGATCGCAACGTTTCGACTGCCTACTGCTAGTGTCCTTTAAGCTCTGTTGGTGGTTTACATGCTATTGGAAGCATTCTACGCTGTCATGGGCCGATATGGTAAAGGTGTCGTCTTCGTAACGTTTCCAGATCATGGGTTTGTAGGGTGATGATGTCATTGCTTGTCCATCAAAACTCTTCATGTAGAGGTTAGCGATAACAGCAGAAACCGGGCTTCTCATAGCTGCGCCTTCTGTGCGTTCTTAAATGATCCATTGTATTGGAAGTAGGTAGATAAAAATCCACGATCCAAAAACAGAACAGTGGGAGAGGCGTGCGATAGCGGACCACAGAGGGAACCTGATCCGAAAAATGTACAAATCACAGCCGTGGAATTCCATCCAATCACGGTTGTGCACAACAGCATATCGCTGAAGTAGTCGACCCCATCGCCTGTTTAACACCAGCAGCATGCAGTCGAAACGTCACTATCCACATCCCAAGTGACCACATCGTGAGACAAGCGATTACATTTCGCTTTCAATTGTTATTTACCACGATAAATGACCTCGACCTGTTTTACGATAAAAACATTCATGTTGAACTAAGAATCCATGCATCATGGCCAGATTTGTCGAGACCAAGATTTCGCATCACAGAACCTGAGTATATGGTTCTCCAGTGTTTAGAAATATTTTAGGCTCCCATTAATGAAAAACGTTGAAATAATTGACATCTCTATACTTAATACTGCAGCGTTCTCCTCGTAAATTCATTGAACGATAATGAAAGTATGAACCCTTTACTTTAAAAGGTTCACCCGTAGAAGGTACTCTCAATGGCGATTGACTTTAAATGTACATTTGTCAGATTTAACATACCCGATAAGAAACTGGTTGCTGTTGTCGGGTGAATTGAATTTTTTACCTTTATTTTAATCATTCGTTTTAGTAATTAATAAAAGTCTTAAAAAGAGAGAGACAGGGAAGAGAGTTCGTAACTTTCTGTTGCGAACAGACTCCTTTCCACATCAAAATAAATCGGTTTGATCAAGATTGCACTTTTCTCAGACTGCCAACAGATCATTTCTCCCATTCAGGGAATCACGACAGGAACCCCATTGTAAAAAAAATTAACCGAGCCATGATTTTCAAGCTCTTCCGAAAACAAGAATGATTAGAAAAAAATCTGGGGCGTTATCCTGAGGATTCCAAGTTTATTTCTATTTAATTATTCCTTGTGAGAAAATTTTGCCTCAAACAAGAAGAAAAATTTTACCTGACTCCTGGTAACCTTTCCCTGCAAATTCGTCACTTTCGTAGCGTGAGACAGTCTCACTCCTGAGACGCTTTACAGACTCTTCGACCTGTCTTTCGACCTCATCCCGTGATCGTTTATAGCGAGACACAGCAACCTGACATGGGACTAGCAAAGAAGGTAACTTTTGACAAGAGCTTTTCACTACTGCCAGGGAATAATTAATATATTGTTTACGTCAGCAAAGATTTAAACCCTTAGGCACCAGCACTAAGTAAAATGAAGGCTAAAAAATGAACCAGTCTTCGCGGTTGAAAGTCACTTCTGAGCATAATTATACAAAAACAGAAGACACCTACCAGGAATTTCCTCTCCAAGCATAGCCAGACCATCCCTTGTTACCCTAACTTTCTTGGACTCATTGCCAAATAACGCCAAACCTGTTGCCATTGAAGGAGGGAGCTCATCATCTATTTCTGCACGGAAGATTCCTTCGCGCTAGATGAATAGGAGGGAAATAACCCTGAAATGTTAATATTCCTGCCTTTTGCAAGTTTGTTTGTTTGGTTGTGTTCATTCGCTTTAAACGCAGATTTTGGAGTGTTTGTCTATTAAATAGCGGCTACTCGCATATGTAGTCATGCGGAAGATCAAGGAGTGTGAATACATCTCAAGCGCGTGGAATAAAAAACCTTCATGAGAAGCTCACCATTTTTCGCTTCCGAAATGTCAGCGTCAATGTCCTTCTCCTCTAGAGTTGCCAATGTGTCTTCACAGTTTGCCACATCACAGCTAGGTAACATGATCGTTTTTGGGCGCGCCGAATTGTTAAAAAAAGTTTTTACTGAGATTTTTCTTCTTGGGTAAGTAAAATATTTCTTCCAGCGTTCGTTGCGCTCACTCGTGGGATATTATCTTTACACTCTCAGTAAACGAAATCATGCTCGCTAATGTGTTGTTGCAAAATGCAATTTTGCAGCATTACCAGTTCGTAAGAGTTTAGAGATTCGGATTATCCTCAAATAAATTTCATTAAAAAACAAAGAGGGGTTCTTTCCCAAATGGTACATTATCTAATATTACTTCTGATGTCTGCTTATTGCATGTTTGATCGTCATATAAAAACAAAATAGAAACATAAATCTGAATATACCTGCAAAGGCCCATCGCTGGGTTCCATTCTCGCTTCTTGCATGCGTAGAGAACTTGGTCGGTTAAGAGCTTCAGTTCGACAAGTTCTCGCTATATAGCCGCCTAACCGCCTCCCGGTTAGCTCAATGGATAGAGCGCTGGACTGCTGTGCGGGAGGTCGAGGGTTCAAGACCCGGCCGGACCAACACTCAAGGTCTTTAAATAATTGAGAAGAATATGCTACCTTTCTATAACATCAAGAAATGGTTAGATATTCTAGTCTTCTCGGATAGGGACGAATAAATGGAGGTCCCGTCTCCTACAGGGTTAGGGGTAAGAGACGTTAATTTCCCACGCACGAGATTACTGTGTGATGGATGTCTTCCCCTGGGGTGGGATGAGTGGGATTTATTGGGTGGACTACTCGCATGGTTCGCATATGTTCCGTTCTAGTCCTACCCTACTGCGGGAATGCATTGAAAATGGTTA